GAAACATTGTTTTTTTTAAATTTTTTGTTAAACGATTTTAAAAAGAATGTGATCAATAAAAAGTAAACTTAAAAATAATTCAAGTTTTTTTATGAATAAAGCAGGAAGTTAAAACCTTTAATTCTTCAGAGTCGATATATTCATTAAAAAATGCTCTTTCCGATCTTGCACAGTCTCGTGGGGACGGCTGAAATTACCAATGACGTTTAGCAAACTTTTAATTGATTTCACTACTATTAAAATAACAAATTTCTGAAAAGCAAAAACGTTTAACTAGGATCTACTGTAACAAAAAGCAAACCTTTTGATGCTTTGGTTCGTTGCGTAAAAAACGAACAAATTTTGTTACAATCCAAGAAAAAGTTCCAATTTTATATTCTTCTACTATAAAATACATTTGATAGCTCCAAAGCCGTTCTCCTTTCCCACTTATTTCTTCATAAGTCTGTCTGTAAAAATGTATTCACCTTTAAAGTTAGCTAGTAAAAGATTTTTAAAAAACTAATAAACTGTTGATTCTGTTTACTGTAGTAGTTTTTTAGAAAGTATCTTACGCAAATATTGCGATAAGCATGTTTAATAACAGTACACCGGAGAAAAACAAGTATAAAATTGTGACGACAGTCACCAGAAGTGAACGTGATGAACAATCACTGTTGTTATGATCAGTTGCATACTCTGTGAGATTACATCCTTCAACGATACCTTAAAAACATTTTTAAAAAAACACTATTTGTTTAGTAAATGCTCATATTCTGTATAAACAGGTACATCAGACTATTTTTAAGAAGACTGCTAGCAGACGATAGATTCCTTGTCAGTTTCTTTTTATATAGTGCTAGACAAAGTTTAGATTTGAAGTAAGACCATAATCTAAATCTTATACTCTTTGGTAGTGCTGCTCTACCACTAAGCCTTTAGTTTATGCTATCCAGGCTTTGTTAAATTTCTCAAAATTTCACAGGCAGAAACGAGTGAAAGCGATGAGGTGAGAAGATTGCAGTTAACTAAGCTTGGCGGTAGCTATTTTTTTTAATTAAGAAAGTGCTTTCAGGAATCTAATACCTAAAAAGTCCTGTTTATTGTAAAGACGAAAATAAAATAAACTGACTACCTACCTTGCTCAACTACTCAATGTTAACACTTTATCTGAGACTGACAGAGTTTAACCTGAGCTTTTTTGTGATGCATTAACCAAATAAATTTAATTCACAGCTAATAATTACCGCAATAAACTGTAATTCGTATTTCTCTACAATTCCAGAGATGCACTATTTTTGTCTGATGCACCACTTTAACCAGTCACGAAACAGAGCCGCCAGGCTAGAAAAAAGCTGGCTGTTCCGCAGAAAATAACGCACTCATGAATTAATTTGAGAAACAAAATCGTTCCCAAATTGCAAATATGAAAAGATTCAGGAAATATAAGAAGAGTTTTACGTTCAAAAATTTAGAATATTATATAAATTTGATAAATACACAACTTTATAAATGTTGTAAATCAGCATGATATACTTTACTCGAAATAATAATAGAAAATGACGTTAAAAAGCACCTTTTAAGTGGCCTTCATTTGGTTCACCAAAAGTTTCCCAGACTACTTCCTTTATCAAATCAAAAATAATTCGAATACCAGATTGAGGATTTTTGTAAATAAGAGAGTGAATAGCCACACCATATGAAAACATTGGTATTAAAAGAAAGAGCGAGAATGTCAGAAGTTGTTTGAGCTAAAAAAATCTTGTGATAAACTAGTGGATAACATTCTAGGAGCAACTAGTTAAGAAAAGCTTTACAGTGAGTTTTTCTGGTTTATAAGTAAAAACGAAATTAATTTGTTATCAAATGATAAACAACACTATTTGAAGGCAACAAACCATTTGCTGAATCATGATTACTTTTGGCCCAAAACCATCCCGGACAAAAAGAAATTTAAACGTTTGAAAAAAAGATACTGACGCAGCTATAACTATAATTAAACGAAACCGTGGATAAAACTGAAAAGCGAGTGTAGAAACTGTGATAAAGTAGAGTGATTTTTTCTTTAAAAAACTGCTATAAACGCGAGAAGAAAATTCTTATAGTTGTAATAATTTAAAACAAAAGAGTTTTTAGCCAAAAATTTGTTTTATTGTGAGTATCAAAACTTGCTTTTAATATACAGCTGGGCAATAATAAGAAAGCACTTACACTGTTACCTAAAACACGAAAAACGGCAGCTAGAGCAGTAAGAATAAGAGTGACAAAACGAAGAGTGTTCCAAACTCCAAAGGAACTTAGGTGGAACCAAGCGTAAACTCGTGAAAAAATTCTCTTTTGAGGCATACAGAAAACCTAAAAAGTAAGTCTTACCAGTGTTTATTAATAACAAATAAAAGCTTAGTGAAGTCTCTAAAAATACTTAAAATTACATTCTTTAAAATATTTGGCATTTGTCAAATAAGCTGAACTTAGACGCAATCTATTAGCTACAATCACAAAAAAGTATTTTCGTTCACTGAATGTAGTCAAATAAATTTTATTACTGATCTTAGTTTACGGGCAGACAAGAGAAAATGAGATGCGATTAGGTCATTAAAACGTAAAACGCAAATTTATCTGCAAAAAAATTAGGCAGGGAATTTAATGCAATGATTTCATAATTCTAATAATCGTTTAATTTGACGTAGCATTTGGTTCTACAGTAACAGAAATTAGAGTGTCTATCTTTCAGACAGGTGACGATATTTCAAGAATAGAAAGCTGATTGCTCTTGAAACATTTTAAACTTCTTCAAATAAATGCTAAAATTTTAAAATTCTTTGCTCGACAACTCTAAAAAATAGTAAACAGTAAAAAACTATAATTTTTAATTTGTTTCTACTAAAGCTACTTTGAACAAGTGTTAATAAAACGACTTAAATAAAAGACTAAAATTGCAAATTTTTTACAACATTTCTTTTCAAATAAACAAGATAAGAACTAGCTCGTAGGCCATCCTAGTTTTACACCATCGACCATTTGTCAATCAGCCAGGGTTTAAAACTAATCCCTTAAATTTTTTGAGAGTACTTTGGGAAAGAAAAAAACTTAAAAAACAATGCGAAGTTTTTAAGAATTTTAGCAAATTTTTGAAAAAAGGAGCAATCTCATTGTCGTAACATTAATTTTATACTTTAATTTCAAACTAGTAAATTTTTTAAACAAGTTAGCAATGGTCTAAAGCTTTGTATTTGGTACTTATTAATTAATGATAGTTAGGCACTAATCAAAAATTGAATCAAAACGCTTTATATGCAAAATAACGAATACGTATATTAGAAAGAATTGACTTACCGTACGGCATATTTCACAAAGGTAATACAGCAGAAAAATGTACAGCATATACTCGCAAGTGGGTATCTCTCCTGGAGCGTGAGAAAATAGTGCTGTTCGCGAAAAAAGTATTAAGTAAACAAGATACGTGATCTAAACAGGTAAAAAATTGTCATATTGGCGAGTAAACTTCAATAATAAACAGGAAACTAGCTATGGTAAAACCAGATATAAAGTCTTTTAGTAATATGATAAAAACTAATTAAATAGTTTTTAGACTTAATTTAAAAATTCTTTACGAAAAGTTCTGAAAATGTAAGCCAAACAAATTTATTAACGTTTCTCATAATTATGCTTTTTTAAAAAAATTTGAATTTTTCAAAAAACCTAAAAACATTCACCGAATGAATATAAAAGCGTGAGCGAGGAGTTCTGTAAAATTTGTCCAGCCTTCCAAATAGTTTTTCAAAGAAGTTTGACGATCTGAGTTTTTCAGACAGTGATGAACTTGAAGAAGCAGTATCCCAGTTTGCTTGTTCTCTATATAAAACAATGTTAATAATGCTTGAAACTTACTCTTCCTATATCTTTCACCATATCAGTCTTTCAGTATAAATACAAAAAGCAAGTGTCTCAAAAACACTAAAAAATTCTTCTTTAGTCAAGAAAACGTCTATTTGAGTTGAAAATTTCTGAACTGTTACTTATACTGATAATTATTCAAAAAAAATAAACAAAAAAAATTAAGCTTATTTTAATCTTCTAGTAACGACAATTATTCGGAAAGCAACTGTCATTAAAAATATACCGTTTTTTCTGAAAAATAATGCATACAAAAATTCAAACATAGCTTTCTGCTTGTTTTAAGTAGACCAGAAAAAATAAAATATTACCCGCTCTGAGCTGTATCGGTTAAAGTTCGTTCTTTGAAACGAACGAAAAAATTAAAAAATATAGGAACAACTGTGACCAAAGCAAAACAGTAAGCCCATCCTGTAGATTCAACTGAACCCTTCCAGTCGCTAAATATTGTTTCTCGGCAACATGGGTGAGTAAAAAAAATCTACAAAAGACGTAGTTAGCATTTTGTAAAAAAATTAGGGGAAGCTAGAATATTTTAAATCTCCCAGGAAATTGGCGAAGTGGCGAATGTTGTTGTTAAGGGGAAGGAACTGCAAGCAAACGTTGCAAACACAAGTCGCAAATTTTTTCGATAGTTTTACATCCACTTCCAATAAACAGTTTACGAAAAACGTTCAGGATGTGAACAGAACAACCAAACGATCACATAGTTGCTGCTCAATCAGAGCGTGTTGAGTTTGAAAGGTCTTAGTTGTTTTGTTCTTTTTTGCTTTAACTTTTATTACTTTGTAAAAACATCTGGAATACTGAAATAAAAATTAGTTAAGCGTATATACTGCAAAGTTATAAGATGTAGGCGTAGTGTTAGATTGACTTAAACTTTTTATCAATAGTCTCTTCATGTGTATAACACAGCTTTTTTAAAAAGAAAATTGTCTTCTCAATTATTAATATCTGTCCTTATGTACTGTTGCACATGCATTTCTTTTAAAAAGCGCTGCTATGACTTCCAAGATTCGTGTTAAACCATGTAAAATACTTATTAGAACGAAAGAATAGTGAGAAAATCACATCGACTAGCTAAAAATTTTTTCGAGTATTTTTTTATAAAATACATTAAAAACTTAAACCTCCAGTTCTGCTCTAGCAGCAATATCGATAAGTCTAAGATTTGGCCAATGTGGTTCACCGTAGTAGTTCAATAAAGTCCTACCAGCTGAAGAATCTGATTTATAGGCAGTCTCTAATATGGCTACTGCTCTTTCTTCGAATTTACTGTAAAAGAATATGCATTAAGCTTTTGACTTTACGTAATTTTGAACAAAAAAAAAAAACAATAGAATCTGTACATTTCTAAATTCCAACAAAACTAAAAAAGAAGCTTTTAGACACCTTTTTATCTCTTTGTATGCTTTGATCAGCTCCTGATCAAATTTCTTTTCAGACTGTTTTTTCAAGATATCTGCCACCCAAGCAGCAATTAAAGCATTTAGAAATGGTCTTTCAGTTTCTTTCCAGAAATATTCGGCTACATTTTCTCTTCAAAAAATTACGGTTAAAAACATTATCAATAGTAAACTTTTTACAATTTTCAAAGCCAATATTGAAAAATTTTAAGAAACTATATATTTATACATAAATGTTTTTCAAAAAAAAAAAAAAGCAATAATAACTTGTTTGAAATAACTGCACAAATCGTGAACTCTAAAAACTTGTCTTCTTCAAAATTTGTGTTCATTTTGTGTTTTTCTGCTCTACTATCGGTGTCTTTCTGTTGTAATGTAATTTTTTCAAAATCTGTCGAATCAGACAGAAAATTGCGTATTTCTTCCAAACCGTGTTCCTCAAATTTCTTGGGAAGCAGCTTCTTTAAATGTTCTGCTTCCTGAAAAAAAGCTCAGAATTAACGGTGTAATTGTTGCTCTTTTATTACTGTTGTAATCGTTGCGTAAATTATAAGAATGGTAAATTAGAACAATTTTGATAAAAATTTGTATTTTTAATGAAAATCTGCTTAATTTTTGTTCTGTTTTTGTTGTTGTTGCTGTTTTTATGCTATTTTAATCAGAATTTCGTACAGCCTAAAATCTTCCACAAAACTTTTGACAAAAAAAATTTATTAAAACGCTGTGACAGAAATAGAAGAAATAGAAATAGAAAAAATACGTATTGGTATGATAAAACTTTTTGAACAATTTCCTATAAAGAAAAGTGTATTAAAGACTTTTATTTACTCGTATTCTTTTTTTAACTTATTCGGTTGATTTTAGAAAAGAATTATATATTTTACTCAGCTGTCAAAAAAAAAATAAAAGACTGATAGCGCATAGTTCACAGACCAATATTCTGAAAGTGCACGCCTAATTTTTGCAAATACTACTCAAACGTTATAACATTATAATAATAGCCTCACCAAGTATAGTTCTTTTAATTGATGCTCATTCAGTAAGTCTTTTGCACCATAATTGAGAACATAGTCCACGAAAGTTTCATTATTGTACTCAAAAGCAATTTTGAAAAAGTCATTAGCTTCGTCCTGAAACACTTTCTCATCTTACTTTAGCTTTACAGTTCTCGGCTACAGCGATATTGGCAAAAATTCTATGTAAAAACCTCAAAGTATCAAGTGAAAAAAACAACTGCAACTTAGCAGAAATTGTTTTGTTTCGGTTTTTCTGTCAGCTTAATAATTAGCAATGCCTAACATCTTTTGAATTTTTCAGGAGCGCTATCGCATAGTCTTTCAAATCGCGCTGTACTGCAAAAGTGAATGACTGTTTAGGGTTGGGGTTTTGCGCTTCTCCTAATATTGACGTGATAATATCCCGAAAACTGAATGATTCAATTATAACTGGCTGAAACAAAGAAATTATTTCTTTATTTTTTGTAAACTCAGTTAAAATGAATAATTTTTTGAGTTTAGTAAAAAAACCTCAATGGATTCAAGAATCGTTTTTATGTTTGTTTGTTCAGTTGCTTCAGTTGTTTCAGTTGCTCCAGTTACCTCCTCATTGTTATTATTTTCATTATTTTCTTCATTTTCAGAGATCTCCTTGCTTATACTTCCCCGTGTTTCGTCGCCTTGTTCACTAAAATTTTATCAAGTCATATGCAACGATAAGTATGAGCATGTAAAAGCTGTTGAAGAAAAATAGTCAAAATTTTGAAAAAAGTAGACTTTTTTTTTTGTTTTATGAAGAAACTTTTTTAAATACTCGTTAAAACCAGACAAACGTGTTTTTTGTTCAAACATTGCACAACTCTAAAATAATGTGGTCATTTTACTGATAGATGTATTTTATTCAGATAAAACAAACATGAACACTTTGTTTAGTAATTTGCTTTAATTTAGGCAAAACAAAAGATTTTGTATATTTGAAAAATACTGTTTCCAATAATTTTCTTAAATTACTTTACGTCTGTCATTTTTAAAAGTTTCTGTTTAAAAAGCTGCTTTAAATAAAATTCTCAATCAAAAAAAAAAAAAACCAGCTTTATACTCGTTCTAACAACAAGTGAAAAATGCGATGTAATACTGTTGCAGTTCATAAAATAAGTTTTTTTTTTCTTTTTCAGATTATTCTGTTGACCCGCAATAACATATTTTAAGCTACATTGAATTTTCGGGCTTAAGTTGTACACCTTTATCAGGTAGGTGCTCATGTAAAGCTAGAAAACACTAACTGTCAAATAAAGCAAAAGCTATTGAAATTTGAAAAAAATTAATTTTTAAAGATAGGCTTGATAAACCAAAACTTGATTTTTATTTCTAGCTTTGCAGAACTTTGCTATAACAGCCTTTAACCCTCTTAAAAGCTTTCTTTTTTTTATTTTTTGGCTCTCATAAAGTTTCCTTACTTTTTTACGAACTATCTCATTTTGTAGCTTCAGTTCAGTCACTCATATTTGTTTTTCAACCTCTACTATTTCTAAAATTAGGCTTCACCAAAATAAAAAATTAACTTCTACAGGAAAAGTCGTAAAATAAATTGAAAAGGCATAATCTGACGTAGATTTAATCATCTTTTCTCTAATCATAATAATAATTATTATTAGAAGAATAAACCTCTGCGGCTTTGATGGTTCTCCTTGTGCATCTTCATTCTTTTTTTTTTTCGTCTCTTCTTCATCCTTTCTTTTTTTTTCTTCTTCTTCATATCTTTTTTTCTTTTCTTCCCATGCTTTTTTCAATTCAGATGCAGCACTGGGGTTTTTAGTGTCAGTAGCCATTACAGCTAGCAGTAAGTTTTTGTTATCCTTGTTATACTCCTTGACCATTTCACAAACAAAGTCTAGCACCTTCAAATCTCCATCTATCAGCAAAGCCACAACCTCATTACTTTTTTCTAAATTTTTTTTAAATTGTGATACATAACTGGACGTAAGTGATGAAATTAATGAACCAACTGATACACGTTTAGCACAGTGTGTTTTTTTGTTTTCAACCAATTCTATAAGAATACGTTTCTATTTTAAAAAAATGTTAAAAGAATATACATTTTTTACTTGTAAATTAAATGTAAATTAAAAAAAAAAAATCAATACCTTTCATTATTTCACTTAGCAATTTCAGTTGACATTTTTTTGCAGCTTCTTCGGATTTATGTTCGTCGTCCTCTTTGCAAAAAAAGTGGACGTTCACATGCGGGTCCAAGTCTCCGAAATCACTGCTTCGCTTAAAATAGAGAACGACACGTGCGGTACAGTGCACATTTTTTTTTTTT